CACACACACACACACACAGGTGCACATACACACAGACACATACACACAGACACATACACACACACTCTTTCTCAAACTTACACTCACACACACACACACACACACACACACACACACAAATGCATTTTGACTATACATTTTATTAACTGGTGATACTGTTTGAACTGATTTACTCTTTGTTAAAACATGTGGCCTCCTCTTGTTCTGTAAGAAAAAAAAGCTGGGAGGTTCAAAAAAGGATATTTGTCCTCTTCTTTTCATCAAACATGAAGTTTTCATCCAGCATGAAGTTTTCAAGCATGAAGATTTTAACTTTGTTCTTAAAATCCCATAATGCTTCTCGATTACTTGACTTGCCTTTGTATCATCATCACAGTTTTATTTTCTCAAATTTTTTTTTTCAACCTTTTTTTTTTTACAAATACTTTTTAGATTTATTAACTTCTAGCGCAGGATACAATAGTCTTTTCGGAAGCATCTATTGCATGTAAGTTGCATATATCGTGACCTCTTTTGCTGATCATACCTTTGTTAACAAATGGAAATTGACAGCTTAGTGCAAGACTCCGTCGTACGCCATTTTGAAAAAGTGATGTACGACGATGGAGGCTCTGGTGTAGTTTGCTCCTTTTTTCCTATCAAACATTTATCATCCTGATCTCTCTTCCTTCTTTTTTGTGTTTGTTACTCGCTTGTAACAGCTCTAATCTTCGGCACTTATATGACCTTATAGTGTTGCAAGTGCCGTAAAACTCTTACTTACTAAAAAAAAAAAGATGGAGTTTTATCTTGAGCAGCGGTCGAGATGGAGGCAGTGGGGCTCTCTATCGAGGTATAAATCTCTAATCTCTGTGCCTCTTTTGTGTGTTGCAGCTTGGGGCGAACGGTCTTGCCTCCTTGGTGGACAACTACGAGCAAGAGAAAGAAGATAGTATTGTGAACTACTTGGTCAGCAAAGGTGCCAACATCAACACGGTGGACATTTATGGACAGACCCCGCTGCACTTTGCTGCCATGCGGGGCAACGAGGTGGCCTGCAGAGATCTCCTCTACTTCAGAGACAGAGTCAAAATTGGGGTGAGTTTTGAAACAGGGAACTTTTTTCTTCTATGTGGTTCTTGCGGAATGTTTTCTCTGTAGACGGAGGAACCCAAAGTTGGGGTGAATTTTTTAAATGGAGAAATTTTATTTCTATCTGTGTGGTTCTCATTGGTTTTTGTTGGTGGTCAGAGGAATCCAAAAATTTGGTGAGTTTCAAAATGGGGAAGTTTTTTTTTTTTTTTCATATGGTCCTTGGGGAATGTTTTCATTGTAGGTGGTAGGAGGGGGCCAAATTTAGGGTGAGTACATAAATAGAGAACTGTTTTTGTTCTGCAATTTTTTAGTGAAACCTTTTCTTTGTGGGTGCTTTGAGGGTATGTGCATCTCCTGAGGGCCTTACCATTTCACAAATCCCTCTATTGTTGTTATGTCTGTTTAGTTTTTTTGTTTTGCCACTGGCTCTGATTTACATTTGCCTGGCCTCTTTAAGATAAATATGTGAGGTGTGCTGACAAAATGAGTTACCTCTCAGATTTTAGCCTTATGGAAATTGGTACATCAACTTTTTACGTGGAGTTTGTACAATTTATAAATAGGAATGATAAAGACACAGTAGACTTGAACAAAATGGCATCAATTGGAAATCCTTAAATCTGACCCCAGCGTCAGTTTTCAGCCGATATCTCTGTTCTTGGATTGCGAGAAGTAACTTAGTTTGTCAGCACTCCTCGCATATGGATGGAGGAAAAGGTCATGGTGGGTGGTCCCGTTTCTTTGCCGTTTCTTTGTTATGTCTGTAGGACTTGCTGCCTTTACATCCTGCCTCAACATTATATTCTTGCCTCAGTGTGTTTCTCTTTTGCTGGAACTGCCCCAGCTTATTGCAAGTTAATGTAATGTACAGTCACTGTTTTTCAATTGAATGTTATTGATGCTGATACGGAATATCATTTTTGTTGTTACTATTAAAAAAAATAAAATTATTATTATTATTTGTTATTATTATTATTATTATTAATATTGTTGTTGTTGTTGCTATTATTATTATTATTATTATTATTATTATTATTATTATTATTATTATTATTATTATTAATATTGTTGTTGTTGTTACTATTGTTATTATTATTATTATTGTTATTATTATTATTATTATTGTTATTGTTATTGTTATTATTAATATTCCATGTACCATTTTTGTTAATTGTTATTATTATTATTATTACTATCACTAGTAGTCAGAATAAAATCTCCATTGTTATCTGTATCATTTTATGATTTTGCATGGTTGACGGGTGCTCTGATGTGGTTTGCTCCTTCTTTCCTATCAAAAGCTATCATCGTTCTCTCTCCTCCTTTTTTTGTGTTTGTTACTCTCTTGTAACACCTCCAATCTTTAGCACTTATGTGACATTATTGTGTTGCAAGAGCAGTAAAACTTACTCAAACTAAAAACTATTATTAATATTCCTTGTACCATTTTTGTTAATTGTTATTATTATTATTACTATCCCTAGTAGTTGCAATAAAATCTCCATTGTTATCTGAATCATTTAATGATTATGTGTGCAGTACGAGGACAAGCAGGGTATCACCCCGCTGCACTCGGCAGCCATTCACAACCACCTGGAGATCGCCCGCATGCTTCTGGAGGCCGGCGCTGACCTGATGTGTCGCGACAAGGAGTTGTCCACGCCCTTGCACCACGCCGCCTCCGAGGGCAACATGGACCTGGTGCAGGTGTTGTTTGAGGCCGGGGCGCGGACCAAGGAGGCCTGGGTCACATTGTCTGAGGTGAGTTGTTGTTGAGGGAGAGGAGGGAGGGAGGGAGGATAGGAGGAAAAGAGGGGTGGGGGGGAGGGCGGAAAAGAGGGAGGGGAGGGAGGATAGGAGGAAAAGAGGGGTGGGGGGAGGGAGGAAAAGAGGGAGGGGAGGAAGGATAGGAGGAAAAGAGGGAGAGAGAGAGAGAAAGAGAGAGAGAGAGAGGGAGAGGGAGGAAAAGAGGGGTGGAGGGGAGGGAGGAAAAGAGGGAGGGGAGGAAGGATAGGAGGAAAAGAGGGAGAGAGAGAGAGAAAGAGAGAGACAGAGAGAGAGGGAGAGGGAGAGACGCAGGGGGAGGATCGGGGGGAGGATGAGAGAGAGAGAGAGAGATGGGGTAGGGGTTGGGGTGAGAAAGAACTATGTTTGCTCTTGGTTTATTTATTCCTGTAACCAATTGTTTTAATGTGTGTGTATACATTTTGGTGAAATTTCTGTCGGTAGATGGTGAGTGCCACAGACATTGAGTCGAGCACTGCCCTCCACGTGGCTGTAGACAATGGACATTACGAAGTGGCAAAAGTTCTGCTTGAAAAACGTGAGTTTCTGCTGTTTTGAATCGCCACCAGCACTGTTGCGAAAGCGACAATTCTGGTTTTTTTTCCACATGTTCTTTTTTGTTACTCTTTATCGGAGGCAAACATCTTTGACATGGTTGAGCTCTTCATCTTGTATACAAAAGAAACGGGTTTGATTCCCACATTGGGAATATAGATGTAATTTTGTATAGATTGTTAAACGCATGGAGCCCACTGTTGATTGATGGGTGGTTGGCAGGTGCTGTGGTGTGGTTTGCTTCTTCTCTCCTATCAAACATCTATCGTCTTTATCTTCCCTTTTTCTTTTTTATGTTTGTTACTCTCTTGTAACACCTCTAATCTTCTGGCGATCATATGACCTTTCCTTATGCAGTTGCAAGCACCGTAAAACCTCTACTAAAACTAAAACAAAACTCTTGATTGGGAATCTGCGCTATTCACTGCAATCTATTATTATTATTATTATTATTTTATTATTGTTATTATTATCATTATCATTGTTATCATTATTCTAATCATTATGTGTAGAGCATCTCCCTCCTTCTTGTGGAATGCACTATCTCACTCCACCCAAGTTGGCCCTGGCTGGCAGGGTTTGAGCAGCCTGCCTCCTAAATGATCTATTTTGTGTTAACTGGGATAAAAAAACAATGTAAAATCAGTGAGAGAAACACTTTAGCACGGCATGACGATTTAATCTGCGACATTGTCAGGCGGTTTCGTTCTCTGCTTTTGATCTTTTGATCTTCCTGCCTTTTTACCAGAAAAACTGCATTTCTCTCTCTTGTTGTCATTGTTGTTTGTCATTATTATTATTGTTATTATTATGATGATGAGGTTGATGATGATTATCTTTTATATTATTTTTATCATTATTATTTTTATTATCTTTATTATTGTTATTATGATGATGATGATGATGATGATGATGATGAAGATTATTGTATTTATTTTTATTATCCTTCATATTATTATTATCATTACTATTTTTATTTTTTAAATTATTGTTATTATTATTATTATTATTATTATAGTTATTGTTATTGTGATTGTGATTACTTCTCAGGTGCGGAGGTGAACAAGCCCCGTAAGCACTTCATGTACCCGCTCCATTTGGCCGCCCAGTCCGGTGACATCCGTATAGCGAGACTCCTGGTGGAGAACCACGCCCGCATCGACGCGGTCAACAGCGACCAGGCCACCGCACTCCACAGGGCCTCGGCGCTCAATCACGTGGAGGTGGTGAAGTTCCTGGTGGACAGGTACTGACTGTCGTGTGGGCAGGTGTTTTGTGGTTTTGTGTATAGTTTGAGCTCAGGTGCTTAAATAGTTCTAGGGTGACGTTCATAGACGAAGAAAGTGAAGTAAAGACGAGAAGAAAAGATTTGAAAAAGAAGAAAAGAAAGCTGAGAAAGGAATTATATAATAATGAATTTTGAGCTCAGGTGCTTAAATAGTTCTGGGGTGAAATTCACAGATGAAGAAAGTGAAGTAAAAAGTGGAGGAGAGAAAAGATTTTTTAAAAGATTTGAAAAAGAAGAAAAGAAAGCTGAGAAAGGAATATAATAACGAGCTAAGGTGCTTTAATAGTTGTGGGGTGAAGTTCACAGACGAAGAAAGTGAAGTAAAAAGTGGAGGAGAGAAAAGATTTTTAAAAGAAGAAAAGAAAGCTGAGAAAGGAATATAATAACCAATTTTGAGCTCAGGTGCTTAAATAGTTCTAGGGGGGAAATTCACAGACTAAGAAAGTGAAGTAAAAAGTGGAGAAAAGAAAAGAATGTTTAAAAAGAAAGCTGAGAAAGGAATATAATAACGAATTTTGAGCCCGGGTGCTTAAATAGTTCTTGGGTGAAGTTCACTGACGAAGAAAGTGAAGTAAAAAGTGGAGGAGAGAAGATTTTTTAAAAAGAAAGCTGAGAAAGGAATATAATAACGAATTTTGAGCTCAGGTGCTTAAATAGTTCTAGGGTGAAGTTCACTGATGAAGAAAGTGAAGTAAAGAAGAGAAGAAAAGATTTGAAAAAGAAGAAAAGAAAGCTGAGAAGGGAAGAAAAGAACAGAGAAATGAGATGAGAAGCAATACAATTTTTATTTTTTTCTATAAGAAGATAAGAGAAATAGAACGGGAAGAATAGCAAAAAAGAAAAGAAAAAAGAAATGGATAGATAGAAGAAGAGAGTGGGGAAAATAAAGAGAAAGACCACATGATCATAGAGTAGATCAACCCAGGATTCAGGGGTTTAGATATAAACAAGAGTGCATTTTTGTAAAGAAAAGTTTGGAAAACAATGATCACCAATAAGTTCTTTTGAGACCTGGCGCTTGAAGAGGGGATTATTGAAGTGATTTTGTAATATATTGACCACGAAAGTAATTATAAAGAAAAAAAATATATATAAGGATGATACAGGGATCGCTGAAGTAATTTTTTGAATATAGCGATCTCTGAAGTATTTTTTTGTTTGTTTTGGGATTACTGAAGTAATTTTTTAATATTGGACCAAAGTAATTTTTTAATTTAGGGATCTCTGAAATACTTTTTTGATAATGTGATAAGGGATCTCGAAGTAATTTTTTAACATTTTGATATGGAGGTCTCTGAGTAATATTTTTTTTATCTACAGATGATTTAGGTGTCCCTGAAATGATTGTTTTAATAGAGGGATCTCTGAATTAATTTTTAAAGATTGAGCTTTCTCTGATCTGAAGTAATGTTTTTAGTACAGTGGTCTCTGAAGTAACTTTTAATGGTAATATGTGAGGCGTGCTGACAAAATGAGTAACTTTTTGCAATCAAAGAACAGAGATATTGGCTGAAAATAGACACTGGGGTCAGATTTATAGATTTCCAATTGATGCCATTTTGTTCAAGTCTACTGTGTCTTTTATCATTCCTTTATACCAATTATACAAACTCCACCTTAAAAGTTGATGTTTCAATTTCCATAAGGCTGAAATCTGAGAAGTAACTCATTTTGTCAGCACATCTCACATATGTGAGGCAGCGTGGTGAAATCAGGCGCTCCTCAAAATAATTGGAAGTGAAGAAACTAGCATTTTTCCGCAGGTTTGTGAATTTTTATCAAATATTGTTTTTTGTGGCTCAATGCCTTTCATGCCCATTAAAGAACAATTTCTGTTTTTACTGAAAAACAATGCTAAAAGACACCCCCAAAAAAGTAAACTTTCAGTTTCCACGGACTCTCAAGCTAGGAAAAAAATTCATCTTTTTGCGGCCATTCTCTCATTAATTTTGCCTCTGAAACCAGGTAACCCCCACCTCCTTCATTCGCAAATATCTCTTCTTCTATTGAAGATGAATGGATGTTTTTTAATTTAAAGTAAGAAAAATGAACAAGCTTTAGGATGATACCAATAACTCTACATGCCCAAAAATTGACGAGCGCCTGGTTCAAATGTGCCGTAACACATATTGTCTTTATTATTCATTCCCTGCTAGGGGTGCTCGCATCAACCGTCCAGACAAGGACAACTACACCCCGCTCCTGCTGGCTGCCACCTACGGCAATGTGGACACTGTGGAGCTCCTGCTGCAGAAGGGGGCCGACTACAGGGCCGTGGACAAGTACGACAAGACGGCCATCTTCATGGCTGCGGAGGAGAACAAGATGGTGGTTCTGGAGGTGGGTACTGGGCGGGCTCTGGCCGAGACCTGGCTGTTGGGTGGGGTGGATGGTGGGCGTGAGTGACGGGGAGTGATCCTCTGTCAGATTTTTTTCGACCAGGAGAAGGTCTGATTTGAATAAATTGGTTTGTCTGTCGGATTTCATGTACAGGAAAATGAGAAGACATGGAATAACATCAAGAGGCTAGCCCAGGGTATAGAAAGGTGGAAAGTGTTTGTTGGTTTGTTACATTGATGTAGGGGGAGAAAGGCAATGATGATGATGATCAGATTTCAGCCAATTTTCTTTGGAGATTGTAGATTTCTTTTCTTTTTTTAGTTTACTGTAAAAGTGAGAAGGTCTTTGAATACTTTCTGCTGATTACTTTCTGGTAAGATGTAGAAGAATTTTTACTAGGAAGGCAGTTGGCAAACTGTTACACAGCTTTTCTGTAATGTTTTGGTCTATTTGATATGAAAATCCACAAAATGTTGGTCTAATGCACATGCTATGGGAGACGGTCAAAGTGCAATGGATCCTTTATGGCAGTATGCTTCTCCTTTTAAAATCTTTTCTTGTTTTGTTTTTTCTTCAAACCTATACGAATGGTTGATGTAGCCTGCTCCTCCTATTTTTTTTTACTGCTCAATTCTGGTTCAACTTCTCATCTCAAGTCTGTTCCTTGTTCTGAAAGTTCTTTCCTAACATGTCTTACCAGTGTGTTATTAAACTCAAACTTTACAAAAATGAAACTGTTATCTTTACTTGCTAATGTTTGTATGTGAACTTGAAAAAGTAGTAAAACTGATTGATATTGTTTTGTTTTGTGTGCACTTTGCTTGCACTGATAACACTTTTTGAGAACAATCAACAAAACGATGGATACAGTTCTGTGCATGGAGAGTGACCATGACTGATGATTGACTGATGATTGTCTTTCCAGAAACTTCTGTCATACCAACAAGTGAAGCGTTTGGTCAACGACTGTGACTGCTACGACAACTCCCCTCTTCACGTGGCTTCAGAGAACGGCTTCTTAGAAATCACTCAGGTATCAGAGCTGCAGCCTTACTGTTTATCATCGCTCATAGGAAACAACTTTTTTCCCTAAAAATCTGGACTTTTAAGTCGTCTTGCATCTTATCTATGAGATATAATATTAAACCCAATTAAAATCAGTGGGAGCGACCAAGGGAACAATTTCTGTGGAAAATAGGATAGGAAATAAAGGCAGATTTGTTTTGTTTTGAGGCAATGTTTTTAATGGAAAATCTTAAAAAGCTGATGGTGCTTGCCATAAAAAAGTTGGTGCATCTTATCTGATGAACATAAACTTTATGCCAAAATGTTGGCTGTCAAGTCTACCTGAGAATGCTTAACTCACTTGTCATAAAGTGCAGATTTGAACAATTCCACACCATGTGAACTGGCGTCTCGGGTGTATTGGTTAGGCTCTTTGCCTTGCAAATGGCGTCGGTGGCCTAGTGGTTAGGCTACCGGACTCGTAATCGTGAGGTTGCGGGTTCGGGGGTTTGAGCCGTGGGCCCTACGTTGTGTCCTTGGGAAAGGCACTTTGCACGAATTTTCCCCACTTCTCCCAGGTGGGAATGGGTGTGCAGCTATAGACAGTGAAAGATCTTGTCAGTTTGTTAGTGTTTGAGCGCTTAACCCGCTGCTTGCATTGTATGCTTCCCGGGAAGCTGAGAATGTATCTGGGTGTTCTATGGTCTGCTGGGGTTTAATAATAGTGTAAAGTGCATAGAGCTTGCTTTCGCGTGGGGACATGCGCTATACAAATGCTATTTATTTGTTATCATTATTAAGTGAAAGACAAGAGCCTCATTTAGGGTTAAGGAGTGTTTTTGTCAATTCACCTCAACTTGCAGTGTGTCCCAGCTGAGCAGAGGTTGGCTGTGCCAGGCAAAGTCGAAGCCTCTTTTGCTAATTGAATTGCTTGGAAGGGGATGTAAGTCATTTACAAATCGTTAACGGCGTATGGAATTTGTCTGCTGTAATGCTAACTTATTCCTTTTAAAAAAAATTGTTTTTAAAAACTTGTTTTCACTTGCATCAACACACTTTAGGTCATTTCAGATGCAGGCTTCGACCCTGTCTGTCTGGGCCAACCTGTGCTGAGAGGGATACAATGTTCCGTCAAATAGACTTAGATTCTTGATTTTTAAGCCCCCCCCCTTTCCCCACATGGGAATCGAACTGGTCTCCTGCATATGACCCTGAACAGCTTAACTGCTACACCATAGCCTCTGATCCGGCTTACTGTGACCAACTACTTAACAATAACTTTTGTAAACCTTGCTTGGTTATATTAGATATTATTTAAAATGTTCTTTTAAAACTGAGATTTACACCATGAATATGTAACATTTAAAAATAAGCCTTGAATAAAATAAACAGTGCTGTGAACTGTTATGAATGCAACCAACTTGTGTTTTGCATGCTCTTATGACCCTATGCAGTTGTGAGTGGCGTAATACTCTTACTAAACTAAAACTAAAACCATTGCTGGTGTCCTCAGTGCTTGCTGGACAGCGGGGCTGACTTGGATGACAAGAATGAGGAAGAGCAGACCCCTCTTCACCTGGCTGCCAAGTATGGCAGAACCAAGTAAGGATGTGACTTTTCCTTCCGTGAACATTTTCTGAACAATTAATGCTTAATCAGTAATCAGAAATGATCCTTTCCCAATTTGACAATACTCCTCTCAGTATAGAAATAATTGTAAAGAGTGTCTTCAAAATATGGATCGAAAATGAGGAAGATCTCCAAAATGACGTACAGCTTCCTGAAAGTTAAAAAAGTTTTTGGTTTCGTGAAAAAAAATGGCTCCTAAATCGATGGCTTGCTTCTATGGGTTGCTATAAATGACAACGTGCCACCATTGTTTACTTGAGGAAGTTAAGGAGGGAATGATTGAGGATAAGTTTGGGGGGGGGGGGGGTAGCTCAATGTGAAAAGAATACAAAACTGACTGACTATCCTCCCTATGTTACAGCATCGTGAGGGAGCTGATCAAACGAGACAAGACCATAGTGAACGACGAGGACGAGAACTCCAACACGGCCCTCCACCTGGCCGCCCAGTACGGCCACAACAAGGTGGCCAAGGTGTTGCTGGACCTGGGGGCCGACGTCTCTGCAAGGTCAGTGCCCGGTAGAGCTGGATGAAGAATCGAGTTCGGAAAAGATTCCCACTGTTAATGCTACAGAAGAAAAGTTCCAACTCCCTCTTCTTCCTTTTTTAGAATTTTAAAAACTAAAAAGTTTATGCTTCGTTGTTGTCCGAAATCAAGGTTATCCTAAATCCTAAAGATGTTCGGAGCCAATTGGGTAACCACCGGAAGAAATCACATCTTTAGAAAGTAAGTAACTGGGTACGGAGTAGATTCCTATGATTCCTAGCTTTCAATAATCAGGAACCTAGCCCCGTGGAAACACATGCACTAGAAAGGTGTGTGCCAAGTGGGTCCTTTATTGGGTGTGTGTGTGCGCGTGTGTGTGCATGTGTTTGTGTGCAGGCGTGTGTGTGTTTGTTGGTGTGAGAGAGAGAGAGAGAGAAGAGAGAGAGAGAGAGAGGTGTGGTCTTTCAAGATTTAAAATTGAGACCTGTTTTCCAGGAAAAAAAGAATTGTAATTAGTGAAGTTCCAAGTCACAATTTAAGCTTTATGGAATCCTTATAATATTGTAAGGGAGTGCTTTTCTCTTTCTTTGATGTTTGGAATTTGCTCAGGGATGTGCCTGGGATTGAAGGTTTTCAGCTTTCACTTTCAGTAAATGTGATCCTCTTTTTGTCGCAAGACCATACTTGTTTCTAGTCATTGAGAGGAATCTACATTAGCCCTTTCTGTGTCTTCCTTTGGTAGATTAGGGGCTTCTGTATATCTGTTTTGACCTTTTCCTGGTAATGTGTGGCACAAAAAGAGTTAAACGCTCACATCTGTAAGTTTGCTCTGCTTTCCGTGTTCATGATGTGGCGTCGATGGCCTAGTGGTTAGGCTGTCAGACTGGCAGCCGTAAGGTCATGGGTTCAAATCCTGTCAGGAACCTGACGTGTCCTTGGGGAAAGGCACTTTACGCAAAATTTCCTCACTTCACCCAGGTGGGAAGGGTACCCAGCTATAGACAGCGAAAGATCTTGTCAGTTTGTTAGTCTTTGAGTGCTTAATCAGCTGCTTGCACTGTATGCTTCCCGGGAAGCTGAGAATGTTTCGGAGTGTTCTAGGGTCTGCTGAGGTAATAATATAGTGTAAAGTGCATAGAGCTTGCTGTCAGATGGGGGTATGCGCTATACATGTGGTTTTTATTATTATTATTTTTATTATGGTTCAAATTTGTCTGAACAGAAACTACAATCAGTGGACCCCACTGGATCTGGCCGCATCCAAGGGCTGGACGAAGACCTGCACCGTCCTGCTGGAGGAAGACGCCCCCGTGGACCCCACGGACAAGAACAAAGTGAGAGCCTCCGCTGGATATTGGATGGAATTCAGTTTTTATTAATGACAGTTTTATTAATGAGATATGACGCAATGTTTGATTTTTAAAAATCCCCCTTTAACCCCTTCACTGCTAACCAAAAGTCCATCCGATGTGCTAAGGAAATTTCCTCTGTTGCTGGGTATGACACGGTCTGCTTGTTTGAATGGCTATAGCTCGCTTACTATAAGCGCTGGATATAGCAAAGTATATATCACTTAGAAGAGAAATGAACATACAATCCTCTGGTGTAAACAACTTTTAGGTATATGTATTCTGAACTAAATTGTGGTGATGGGGACAATCAATAGTGGAAGTAACGTGCATCTTGGACAATCTAAAATATCGTTATAGGGATGTAAAATATTTTCAATCAGTCTTTCAATCTCTTTTCTGTCCTCTGACAGTGGGTGGTGGGTGGTTGGCGGGTGCTCTGGTAGGGTTTGCTTCTTCTTTCCTATCAAACATCTATCGTCCTTATCTCCCCTTCTTCTTTTTTATGTTTGTTATGCAGTTGCGAGCGCCGTAAAACCTCTACTAAAACTATTTTAAAAAGACAGTGGGTGGTTGGCGGGTTCTCTGGTGTGGTTTTCTCCTTCTTTTCTGCCAAACATCTATCGCTCTGATCTCTCCTCCTTCTTTTTTGTGTTTGTTACTCTCTTGTAACACCTCTAATCTTTTGCTTTTATACGACCTTATTGTGTTGCAAGTGCCGTGAAACTCTTACTGAAACTAAACTACCTGTCTTCAGACGACCCCACTGCATCTGGCCGCGGGTTTCGGTCACTCGTCGGTGGTGGAGCTGTTGCTGGACTGGGACGCCGACGTGACGCTGCAGGATGACGAAGGGCGCAACTGTCTGGACAGGGCCATAGAGGACCACCGCATGTGAGTTGTTGTTGTAGTTGCTGTTGTTGTTGCAGTCATTGTTGTTGTAGTTGTTGTTGTACACTGATGTGGAGCTGCAGGACGATGGATGCAATGGTTGTCATCGTTGTTGTTATTGTTGTTGTCGTTGTTGTTGTCATTGTTGTTGTAGTCATTGTTGTTGTTATTGTAGTCATTGTTGTTGTTGTCGTTGTCATTGTTGTTGTTGTCATTGTTGCTGTTGTTTCAGTAGCCTTTGAGTGTGTGTCTTTCTGCCCAATGCCACCATGGTTAAAAAAAAAGGTGGAGGTCCTTGACATATGTCTTTTGCTGCAGTATAGGGTATTGTCTGCGATCGGGACGAGTTGAACAAGTTTGCACTCTTTACTGCATGCGAGTGAAAGTCTGCTGTGGGGGGTGGGGGAGATTTCTTGCTTTGTGGTGTTTCCCTGAAAAACGACTTGAATTTTACAAGAGCAGAAACTCATTTTGCTTCGTTTATTATTAAATTTATGGTAACTGTGCATTGTATATTTACCTAGTACGTGTCTCACGAATTTGTCGATCTGATTTTACAGAAACGTAGCCATGGCTATTGTGAATTCAAGTGTGTGGAAGGATGCCTTGCGAAATGCCACCAGAGACCCAACGACAGGCTATGTTGACACTCCGATGAGAAAGTTGATCAAAAGGATGCCGGGTATGTCACAGTGCAAGTTTTTCTCTCTCTCTCTCTCTCTCTCTCTCTTTCACACACACACACACACGCACACACACACATACTCACACACATAATATTATGGTTTGTGGAGTGTTGAGTCTCAAGTTGTAACAATCATAATGGTGCAGATCATTTCTATAAGGCCCACTCCTGTACAATACAGCTCTAGACACTTCACAAAACCTTCATCTCAACACAAAACACAAATGAATGAAGAGGGTGGTTGGCCAGTGCTCTGGCGTGGTTTGCTCCTTCTTTCCTGTCGAACATCTAGCATCTTTATCTCCCTTCCTTCTTTTTTGTGTTTGTTACTCTCTTGTAACACCTCTAATCTTCGGCACTTATATGACCTTTTTGTTTTGCAAGTGCCGTAAAACTCTTACTAAAACAAATGAATGAACATGCTTACATGAAGAGCACATAAGCAGGCATTCATCCTATCGCAACACCTTCATGTGCTGTTGTTGACTTTGATTCCCCTGTGGGGAGTTATTTTCTAGAGTTTCTTTGTATTTCTGCTGAATCTAATATCCCACACAGTCCAGTTAATTAACCCTGACAGGCAGCGCTGAAGCAGCTGCTACCTAGTACATTGATTTACTTACATGCTAGGTGCTTGGATTCCCAAGCCCTGGGTTTGGTGGCCAGTAAGTTATTCTTTGGCACATTGAAAAGCCCACTAGTAGCTGGGTTGTTTTTTTTGCCCCCATCGTTGTTTCGGCCTGTCTTTCTTGCTTTGTCCTTGTACTAAATGAATATATGGGCATCAATAGGCTCTTCCCTCCCCCCCCAGAAAATGAAAACAATGGGATGGGAAGTGAAGAGCCTGTGCTCTGAGATGGTGAAGGGTGCCAGTGTTGTTTTGTTAGAAGTATTAAAAGAAATTCAGATGTCACTTTTTTTTTGGTCTCATTCGTAAATTTATTTGAAATGTCTTATGGTTTTTCAGTGCAATTTCTATCTTTTAGAAGCCAACCGTGACTAAAAGAGGTATATTTCATTAGAAAGATGAAGGTTTGTCGTAAAACATTTTCCTTATACAGGAATTTAGGAATTTAACCGATATCTTATAAGTATATTTTATTGTTCCGCGGAACTAAATTATCGGTATTGCATCAGTCATCAAGTAGTGTCTCCCTATGCCAGTTGCACAGTATCCAGGTTAAGCTCCTGACATAGAGGCCCGTAACCTGTACCATTGTTCTGTTAACCCTTTTTGAGCTAAACCGGCCTTCCTTTCATGTTGCCATACCGGTTTTTACCGGATTGACCGCTGTAGAGCCATACCAGCCTGACACTCTCGCCTTAAGTGCGGGCTTAGAAATAAGAACATTCCACTATAAATTTAGAAGCTGACATCATAGGTCTTGTATTTGAATTTTTTTTTAAATGCGTCGCTCAGATCAAAAGCAAAAGCAATTTCTTTGCTACATCCCCTGAACCTCTGAAAGACATTGAAATAAAAAAATTCGGTTAATCAGCTGCCCACCATTTTTTGGTTCTGCTGTCCTGACCTACTGACTTATTTATGGCGCTAAGAGGGTTAATGTGCTTCTTGCTACTGGAACTTAAGCTGATCATTGTCCCATTTTTTTCTTGCTCGACAGACGTGGCCGAGAGAGTCTTTGACAGGTGCTTGAGCTACGGTCAGGAAAAGAACCCGGAGCGCATCGACTATGAGATCTCCTTCGACTACGAGTTCCTGGACGACATCTACGCACGCTGGATACAGGAGGGCATCAAGCGGCAGGAGGACAGCTCCAGCGACTACGCCTCCTCCTCAGGTGAGTGATAACAACCAACATGTGTCCACATCAACGCGGTAGAATCGGGTGCCGCCGCTCGTCAATTTTTAGGAATGTCGTATTATTGGTATCATCTTAATGCTTGTTCTTTTGTCTTGCTGTTAATATAAAAAAAAAAAAAACCCTCTTCCATTTTTCTTGAGTATTAGTCGAGATGTTTGCGATGGAAGGGGATGGGGGTTGTGTGGGTTCAGAGGTTAAATTAGCGAGAAAATTGCCTGCCAAAGTTTGGTTATTTCCATAGCTTGTGAGTCTGCAGAAACGGATAATTTATATTTTTTGTTCCTTGAGGAGCAACCCTCAGGGTCCATTTTCTATGTTTGTTTCTTTGAGATCAAATCTAAGTACTCATATATGTTAGTCATAGAAAAATCTCTTGATACATATTTTATTTTTGCATAACTACAGCAGTTGATATGGAAACGGCTGCCATCTTGAAAATAAACAATGAATTTCAAATCCCTATGGCTTTCTTATTTACTGATCAGATTTGACCACATTTGGTGAAAGTATACCTGAACCAATCAACGTTACCGAGTTTTTTAAAATTAGGGGGGGAAAAAATCAGAATTTTCCCATTATATATGAGCCTTTTCTATATTTTGGTTGCGTAATCGCTTGCTAATGGAAAAGTATAATTTTTTAAGAAAATATCTTTCTATTACATTAATGGAAGCCTTGCCATCTATGTTTCCTGAAAGTTGAGGAAGGAGTAGGGGAAAAACTGCAAAAAACTGACATTTTCAGAAAAACGACAATTATTGTGAAAATTCACCATATTATGTGTCACAATGCTGTGGAATCAGGTGCTCGTCAATTTTTGGGTGTATGGAGTTATTGGCATGATCTTTTAAAGCCTGTTCATTTGCCTTGCTTAGAATGAAAAAATACCCTGCTATTTTGAATAGAAGTCGAGGTATTTGCGATTGAAGGAGGTGGGGGTCACCTGGTTTAGAGGTAAAATTAGCGTGAAAATTTGGTGGCTTTCATAGCTTGAGAGTCTTTGAAAACTGAAAATTTACAGTTTTTGTCCCTTTAATCAACGTTCTTCCTTAAAATCCAGACAGAAATGGGTTTTTTAATGGGCATAACAGAAGTTGAGCCAAAAATTTAAAAGTCCATAAAAATTACCAAACCAGCAGAAAAATGCATGCTGGTGTCTTCGATTTCAGTATTTTGACGAGAGCCTGATTTCACCACGATGCTTCACATATTTTAACCTATCCTCTTGTCTTCAAAGGCAATTTACGGCAAAAATAAAGACTTTCTCAATTGTCTCCTTGCTATATTTAGACGAAGAACTGGTTGATCTTAAAAAATCAGCCAACATCTTAATCTGCATAGCTTTACCCAAAATCGGCCAAACTGAGGATCGCTTGTCCCGTTAATCAATGTTTTTCAGTCAAATCCACACAGAAATGTATTCTTAAATGGACAAAAAAGGTGTTAGCCAAGAAAAAAAAAATTCGGTAAAAATTGCCAAACCGGTGGAAAAATGACAGTTTTTTCGATTTCATTATTTTGACAAGCGCATCATTTCACAAATGTGCCTCTAGTGGTTAGACTACCGGGCTCGTAGTCGTCAGGTTGCGGGTTCGGGGGTTTGAGCCGCGGGCCCGACATTGTGTCCTTGGGAAAGGCACTTTTCACGAATTTTTCCTCACTTCACCCAGGTGGGAATGGGTAACCAACCATAGACAGCGAAAGATCTTGTCAGTATGTTAGTGTTTTAGCGCCTATAAATGGCTGCTTGCACTGTGTGCTTCCCAAGAAGTTGAGTTTGTTTCAGAATGCTCTCAGGTCTGCTGGGGTAATAGTATAGATTGTGAAGGAAGCGCATAGAGCTTGTTGTTGAGCGGGGATTTGTGCTATACAAATGCTATTATTATTATAATACAGTGATCATAATCTTCCTCGGATCCGCGGAAGTTCAGGATTTTCAGTCTTCTCTGCTTTTTCCCTCCTGGTTCCTCCTTTCTGTGAATCGCGTGGTTCGCGCAAATTATCCTCCGCTTATCGACAATAGGATGCCTAGCGATCAGCCCACGTAATACGCAGTCTGCCGGTGTATGCGAAACTCGAATTTCACGGCGCTTCCGTCACCGCAAAACTGCTAGAGACTGCAATGTTAGTGTGGGGGGCCTATTTTTGCTTGATTAGCACCATTTCACGTGCGTGAGATGAGCCCTCATGAAAGCATTCATCATGAAGGATTGGACAAAATTGGACGTTCTCAGAATAAAAGAAATTGATTTGGAAATCAAAAACAAATTTAGATTTGTGTGGTTAGAAGAAAGTTTGACTATAGAATCAAAGAAAGGTGACAAGGTTACTATTTGTGTTGGTGATTCTATTGTTAAAGTAAAAGTCCCTCCAGTACCACCCCATCCCAGCCCATTAAGCTGTTTTCCCTGTCCTCAAAGATATGTTTAATTGTTAATAATTACAAGATTTCTTTTGAGACTGAAATTGATGTTAATTATTTGTATGGGTGTGGAAGGGTCCCTTGATTTTATTTAGTGGTTTCGCTGCTTCTGTTGGTGTATTTTCCCTTCTTTTTGGCTTTTGCTCGTTATGATCTCTGATAATAATAATGATACAGTCGAACTTGTCTATGATGGCCACCCATTGTCAAGGAGAAAAATGGTTGTCTTGTAGCGGTCAATGTCTCACTCGTTATCATGATGTTTAAAAAAAAAAAAGACACGAGTGGGGAAATAGGAAGTGGCCATTTGTACAGGCAATTGTCTAATCCAGGTGGCCGTTAGAGCTAGTTTGAGTGCAATGACATTTTCACCTTTTTAAAAAAAGTTATTTTTTGTCATTGTTTTGAAATTAAAATTTTTTTTTTTTAATGTTCTGTTTCCAAAGTCCACTTTATCCACCAATATACACTCCTGGTGTACCGGTGGCGAGGGCTCAAAGAGTTAACTTATTATGTTTGTTCATGCTTTTGTCTTCCGAACAGGGAGTTCCTACGGTGGGGATGATGACGAGATCCTGTCCCCTGACGCTCAGCCTTACAGTAAAGATTCCAACGTGCTGAAGAAGAACCATCCCCTGTACATCATGGTGAGTTGGAGGAGGAGGAGGTACCTAGTGGGTGCTTGGGTGGCTGGCGGTGGTTCTGGTGTGGTCTGCTCCTTCTACTTACTTTCACTTTCTTTCTGTTCCTGCAGAAGCAAAGCATGTTGTCGTGCTGTGTATGAATGACCATTTCCCACTGCCCTCCCCCCCCACTCTTTATTACATTATAATGCCTGACACTGTCCAAAGCAGCTACCTGTCTAAGACAACCACTTTTCTCCTCAACAATGGGTATTAAATTTCTTTGAGCGTCAAAGAGTCAAATGGTTCGGACATTTAACCAGAATGACCCAGAAACAACTAGCGGCAAGAGCTTACCACTACACTCGCGAAAACGCACCTTCAAATCAAGAGCAAGACCAAGAAGGACCTGGCTGGGTGGAGTTAAAAAGATCCTGGAACAACATGACATATCTATCACAGATGCCACACACTTAGCACTGGACCGAAACCTGCACCTCCCATCGACACCCTGAGGATACCAGAGGAAGGAAAAAGTTTTTAAAAGTAAAAAAAATGGGGTAGTCATCTCGGTGTCCCCATCCTTCTTTAGGGATGTTGTGTCCTCTCAGCCTGCCTTGGCCCACACGGGCAGGGTTGAAGTAGCCCGCCTCCTAGGTGATCTAAATTGTGTAGATGAGGGCTTAAA